AATCAGACATTAAACTAGTACCCCAGTATGCATGTTCTCTCCCTGTCTGTTTCTTCCTCGGTTTCCCCCAAACACAAAAAACAATGAGATGACAGATAAAACTGAGCCTTGAGTCATTTCCCATTGAATTCAAATGAAGGATCTTTTCAAATCATTAGTCTGGTATTGAGTTTTGTATCGTAACAAAAGGCAGTGGTGTATTTATGGTCTTCCTGAGTGAGACTGAGCTTCTGTTCAAAGCCAGGTTTAAAACAGTTCTGTAGCTGTACATCCTAATGAAGAACTGTAACTCTATTTCATTTTCTGTAGTAATTTATAATGTTGATGTCTTGCATGGTTTTAATTTATTTTTGTGTTTAGTTAAGCACTTTGACTGCCTTAAGTATGAACTGTGCTATACAAATAAACTCACCTTGCCTCTATAATATTATAGATTTGCAGTGGTCAGATGCAAGTCTGGTTTTATCTGTGTCATTCCACCGTGCGTGTCCAATGAAAACATCAAGTTTAACTCTTATATTTTAGGTCAAATCCTTGACATAAGAGCTTAAACTCCGTGACAACATGGCACTTCAGAGTCAAGCGTGTGTCCTGTGATCATTGCAGTCACACAACTGCCCCCATGTGGCGATGCAGTGCATTGCATACAGACAGAAAAAGTAAAAAAGGGCAATTACATCTAACCTTCTCATCCTATTGTACTCTCTGTACATTCCGAGTTTGATCTTTCTGTAATGAGCAGGTATGTCCAAATTCAGGCCATCGGCGGCCCTCTGTGTCATTTTATTTGGCCATCAGCCTTGCCAAGCCAAGTTCACAGTGTCATCCAGCCCACTTCAACCCTGCCAATATAGACATGCTGTACCTCATTGGAAAGCACAGAACCTTTAGAATCAAACCATTGACTTTATTCTTTACACCGACATGTGTTTTTGATTGTGTCACAAAATTCCATATATGGCACTAATGTAGCAGGTGAGATGGGAAACATTTGTCATTCAATATAGGCATTTTAAAGTTCCGATCAGATGGAATCCAGTCAAACAGTTTTTGTGTTATTTGCGTCTGGACAAATCCATCCATTTCTTCCCCTTAATCCATATCTGGGTCGGGGGGGTGGCAGTCAGAGCTGCACCCAGTACACAGAGCACCAGCCCCTCACTGATCCTCCTGCAGGTGGTGAGTCCACAGGAGCTGAGATCAGTGGGGGCTTCAGGCAAAGTGGGGTTGAGTGTCTTGCCCAAGGACACAACGACAGAAACCATCAGCGGGAGTTGTGAAGTAGGTGTCGTGGTGGATGGCTCAAGATTTGAGCAATTTTTGACTTCTTTTTCATCACTTTTTGCAGTGTTGCTATCCTCGGATCAAGGTAACCTGCCACGGTGATAAACCAATACCCTAATTATTTTATTGATGATTTTTCCTAACTTGACCAGCCCTAGGTCATTTAGACCCGAGGGTAGCGCAAGGGCTGAGGAAAATACCTGGTCAATCCACCGTTTGCTTAAGACTGCATTAAACAAGCCACATTTTCCTTGCCACCATATTACCTTGCTGTTACCAAACAGAACTGACACATTTAATATCTCTGGATGGATACTGTTATTTGTGCTGTGTGAGGCAGCTGTCATGTTCCTCCGGTGAGTTTGACAATCATAACAGCTGAAACGTACAGTAGAGTCGGCAGGACCAGGTCGGCCCATCATAGCCTTGGCAGCTCTCCTCCATTTTTCCTCCCAGGTCTAATTGGATGTTTTTGGGGGCAGGTCATGTGTTGAAGCTCTTACCCCAGATAAAAACGCTGTCGGAGGATGCTAATCACGTTAAATGGAGAGAGACCAGTGCTTCCTGTCGAGTGCAGTAATCACAAACTAGCGTGACGTGCTGATTACAAAGGCATGGTGATGATGAGGACAACCCACAGGAAAATCGTTTTTTGGGGTTGGCACTTTGGAGGAGAGAGAGCTGGACACTTTGGAGGAGAAAGAAGAAAATGGTGTGGTGTGGAAAGTTATTCTCAGATTCTTGGCCTTTCAGTGTCTTATTTACAGGGTATTGGAATTTTATTGCAATTTCAGGTGCAGTCACTATGTGATTAAACAAAACTTCCAATTAAACAGTCACTGTCTATGTGATTATAATGTGCTCAAAAGAAGATACATTTAGTTGCATTTGAGCAATTTTTGATTTTCCTAATTTGAAGCGAACACATATGCATACAATATGGACAGCAGGGGTACTCTGTTTTTATACAGCACATTTTTACAGACCAAGGTCACCCAATAAAAAAAGGAATAAAAACAATGTAAGTATCAAAGTATCAGTTCTAGATCAGTGGTCATCAGACACTGGGTAGAATTTACTTCAGTGAGAGAACATGGCTCTATAGAGTATCATCATGTGGGAAATAACTGTATCTTAGACCATCTTAAGTTGCAATTTTTTTGAATATATCTTTTATTTTATACTAGATTGTACCTGTGTGTACCTGTGTGTGATATGTTTTTGTTGTTGTGAGACAATGTTTAAACATGTCAATCCTAAATGTATTTATTATGTATTTGTTAATTGGGACAGTGCCCATAAATCAACAGCTCTCCATGTAAACATGCCAAATTTAGTCATGAAGGCTAGTTTCCATAGATAGTGCCATGGAAGGTTACTGTATTTTAACAAAAACACAAAGCAAAACATCTGTTGTTGTTGCCAATATGACCGTGTAGTTAGTATCAAGTAAAGTATGTATTTTTCAAACAAGAAAATAGACTGAGATTGCCTTGGAACACATTTTATCTCAATTTCAAAAGTAATTGACATTCACTTTGAGGCATACTTCAGACAAAAAAGGTCGACACCCACTAAAAAATGGTTCCAAAAGTAACTTCTTGATTACTTTTATCAGAGACTGAAAGGATCCCACCGCTTTGAGAGGCCCATTTTTTTAGGACAGTGGATAAGAAACGACAAAATTAAGAATATACTACCACTAATGATAATTGCCCCTGTACATTCTCTAATAGAATCTTTGTAAAGTATTGACTGCAGGTATTTTCCGCTGCATCAAGCCTCTCTGTGGAAAAGGTTCAGGCCTCAACTCCTCCTCACAGACACCACTTCTCAATCAATAAAGAACTCCTCTTAATGTGGAAGCATAAGTTGAAGATATAATTATAGCATTAAAAATACATATTTAATACAGAGAGAAAGGAGAAGAAACCCAAATCAATGGTTCCGCTATTAGCTATTGATCTGCAGAAGTGTAGTACCACAAAAAACACACTCAGGAGTATTTATTTATTTATATATAGGAGGAGGATAATGTTTCAGTCGAGAGTGAAAGTACAGCAGTCTTCCTAACACTGAAGCATGCCATTAGTAGAGACTGAAGAGACTGAAATAAATACAATACAAAAATACAAACATGTTTTACACAGATCACATGCAGCGGCCACTTCCAGTTGTAATCTTGAAGAAGGTAATTAGTAGATAATTATTGTATTATTACTGCTCCACCTGCGATAGGTTCAATGTTTTGCTTGGTTTGACCCTCGTCCTCTGATGACTGTTGTATCATAAAAAATGGTACAACCTGTTATACTTTCTACCAATAGAAATTATTCAAGTAAGTAAGTAATTAATGTTTATTTATATCGTGCATTTTACAGAACAAGGTCAACCAAATCGCTTTACAATATTCGGAAATCAGATATTTTTTCCATTCACACACGGTGATAACGGAAGCGAGTCGCCGAACACGCTGGTTGCTTCAAAGCCAACTAACACCATCAATCCCTCACTTCATTCATACCTATTGTACATGTTTTTAGTGGTAGGGGAAACCGTAGCACCCGGAGGAAACCTACGCAAGCATGGGGAGAACATGTAAACTCCACTCAGAAAGGCCCTGTTCCGACCACAGGACCTTCTTGCTGAGAAGCGTGCCGCCACAGACTAAATAGTGCTGTATATTGGAAAGGAATGTTATACTATAATTGTGAATTCTTTGAGAAAAAAATATCATGTAACATTTTAATATTATAACTCAACCTGCATCTAAATCAGGGCCATTCGACTTATTTTTCCTGAGGACTAAATTATTTGGATGTCGATGTCTTCTGGGGCAAAAAAGAAAAAACATATCACAATGAAAAATTATGGAAAGTTTATGTCATCTGGTTTGAGCTGTTTTTTTGTATTTTTGGTGCCGGTTTGGCCGTCTCTAGTTTGTAAATTTCTGTATATAAAAACGGGATAGAAAAAAGAACAGGTGTAGGATAAAGAAAAAAAATTTTTTTAACTCTTCATTATCCTACACCTAATCTTTTTTCATGGAATGTATTACTGTTGTAATTTCTGGATTTTTCAGATACTTTGTTGCGTAACCATGAAAGAATTTAGCAAAAATAAATATTAAAGGGAAAATTCTTTGAACACTGTGAGTTTGAGGCAAATATATAAAACACCATCTGATTTTGTTACAGTTTTATAACAAAATCTGCTATGTTTGTGTAAAACAAATACATTCCAAACCTGAATGTAAGCCTGGACCAGTGATGGCATAAACCAGGATTTAACCAGAGATAATACATTCTTACCATTTATACCATTATTTCAGTGGTTCTCAACATGAGCTGAAGGATGGATGAGATTTTTGGGAGGGCCTGATACTTCATTTCAGTCCTATTCAACTAATCTTAATTATCTGAATATTGCTTCAAAGTTAATTGAACTCTGCTGGGTAAATATTAATAAAACACATGATGAATAGATTACACAAATAACAACATCGTCTGATTAGTGTTTTAATACCTCACCGCATGCTTGCACCTGCTTTCAAACTATTCTTACTAATTGAGAAGACAATACTTTCATAAGGTCTGTTAGGGCCCAAAGCTTCTCAGAATGATACAAGATATAATAACTCAGCATTTCACACTCACCTTTGGCTTGTCAAAGTCCTTTATGCTGAGAAAGCAAGGGAGGAGGCCTGGGAGGAGGGAATGCCCATGATACAGCTGACAACAGCCCTGTACTGTCAGGTGGACTCCTCCTTTGCACCGGGACACGGAGCAGGACGTAACAGGTGAGTCCACACACATATATAATATACGCTAATCATACATACAAAACAAAACACGCCAATTCTATGTATGGCACATAAGTGTTTTAATCAAGCGTTTTATCAAGAGTTTTGATCTAAATGAGCTAGTAATGAGGATCGTAGACCTCACTGGCAAAAAGTGATGGCAAAATGTATCTTGACTTGAGCACATTTTGACTGCATTAAAACAACATTTGCCAAAGGGACAAGCCAAATTATCTTGTTTTAAAAAGAATTGTCTCCCTTGTAAAATACAGTTCTTTAAATAAGACCATACGGCTTTGTCCTATTGGCAATTCTTGTTTTTAGACTCAAATTTGATCATTTTTTGCATTATAGACATAATCGACATTTTTGATCCTCTTGAGCTTAATAATTAACACAGAGGTTTTGCTTTACCTCTCCATCATACCATGTTTATGCTTAGTACATGCTTTCATACGTGATCACCATTAATAACACAATCTCTCATTCCTCAGTCATTTAAATACTTTGGCCATAGCGCCAGAACTTCACGCAAATGTACAAATCAGACCTCTATAGCCTCAATTATACAATAGTTTGTTCCACCAAACAGCTTATGATAACATCCCCTGCTCTCAAAGTCCAGGGCGCCCTTTAAATGTCTGTCATAGTCTTCCACTGTGAACGTCATTAACCATTAACAGCTCAGGAGAACTGATGGAAGATTAACTCGCATTTAACTATCAACAAGCGGCAGGATAATGTGTCACCTCAGAAAAATGCGCTCTCCCTCCAAAACAAAACTGTTGCCATTTTGACGAGAAGAAGAAGAATCAGTGTTGCAATTTTGTTTTCTCTTCAAGGCCATGGCTGGGTACAAGCCAAGGGTGATATCTTTGAACAAGAAGTCGGAGCAAACTTTTGGCTTCTTTCTGAGAGTGGAGCATGGGGAGGAAGGACACCTGGTTCGCTCCCTGGGCATGGGAGGAAACGCAGAGCTGGCCGGCATGAAGGATGGAGACCGGATCGTGCGCGTCAACGGGACTTTTGTGGACGAGCTTTCACATTCAGAGGTCACTCACACGTACAGATGTCTACAGATAACTTTATAGTTCTTGGAATAGAATATATAGTGTTTTATTCTTCATATGCCAAAGTTATAGATGTTATACTTTTTTCTTCAGTATACACAAGTTAGAGATTTAAACTTCTTTCTGTATTAAGCCAAAGTTACAGATTTTATACTAGTTTTTTTCATTATACCATAGTATAGTGCTAGTATGGTGGTATTTTATTTATACTTCTTTCTTTATTAAGCCAAATAGAGATTTTATACTTTTCTTCATTAGACCAAAATTAAATATTTGATTGTTTTTTTAGTATAGAGGTATTGTTCATTTATCTTGTGCTGTTTTCTCCTCATTCCTTCTGCTCTCTAACTTGTAATACAACACTCAAATTTCCCCACTTTGGAATGAAGAAATGATCTCAATCTTAAACCGTGCAACAATACAGCACCAGATGTACCAACTATTTTCTGTTATTTCTGGGGTATACAGGTGGTGGATCTGGTGAGAGACCACGGCTCGTCCGTCACCTTCCACGTGTTGGATGAGGCGTCGTACAAACAGGCAAAAGCACAAGGGGTGAACCTGGCTGACCCTCGCAGCTCTCCGGTCACGAATGGTGTGTCCAAGCATGCCCCCAAACCCAAACTATGCTACCTTGTTAAAACCAACAGCGGCTACGGCTTCTCCCTCCGCTCAGTCAAGGGTAAGTCTTGCACGTGTGTGATAAGCGTCAAAAGTGACATGGGTAGAGTAGAATAGTCTGTAGAAAAATTATGTTTTTTTTTTTAGATAATTGTTTTAAGATGCTGTAGGCGAAATTCAAACCACTGAAATGGAAATATGTGAGACAATCTATATAACTGTTTTTTTTTGCCTCCATCACATCTTTTCAGCACAAATAGTGGCTCACTGAGATGTTTCTTAGGATGACATATTGCTTTGATTTAATGATTAAGATTTATTCAACGCACAGTGGGGAAATGTCAGTGTTGCATCACTAGTTACAGAACAGTATAGGAATGAGGAGCACACAGCACAAGATAAGTGAACAATAACTCAAATAAAACACAATATCTATCTTTAGCATTATAAAGAAGCAAGTATAAAATGCAGCATGTTGTGGTCAATTTAACTTTTGAAAGCTTTGAAAACCGGGATTTAAAAATTATTTGCTTCACTGTAAATGTAAACACACACAAAATATAGCCTTGTGTTGCTATGATACGTGATTTCATTGTATTTTGGACGCACATTCTGATATCACCAACTCATCAACAGTCTTTGATCACAACCCTAACCTTTACCCAGTTCTTAACCCTAAACCTGGTCCTAACCCTAACCATAGTGAACCAATCCAATCCACTTTATATATATATAACACATTTTATAAAACAAGTTTCCAAAGCGCTGCAAAATATTAAAAGATTTAAAATTTTCCAGCTTCAATTGTATAAAATATAATAATATAATACAATAAGTATAACATTATGATGTGATATAAAGTAAAAACAATTTTAAAAAGTTTCACAAATGTAAAGACAATATATATGATGTATGTATATGATGACATGGACAAACAAATTAAAAAAATAAAATACAAAATAAAACAGAGCCCATAAGCCCTAACCAAAGTGAGCCCAAGCCCTCACCCCTGACCCCTAACCCTGCTCCTGGACTGTTGATTACTTGGTCATATCGGATCATGTATTTTAGACACAGTAGCTTAGATCAGAGTTCCACAACCTTTTTGAGCCATGCCATTGCAAAAAAAAAATCATATGGCACACCACAAACGAAATTTGATACAGAACTGAAACTCTACAGGTCTACAAAGCAAAGTCATTCTCATCAACATGTATTATAAATAGCAAATCAAACAAGCAGAACAAAAATCTATTAATCAATATTGGACTATTTCCAAGGTACACTAATAAACATCTCAAGGCACACCAAGGTGCCACGGCACACTGGTTGAAAAACACTAGCTTAGATTACATGCCAACAAAAGTGCAACTGATTCCACTCGTTTTGACCGTAGCTTCTCACCCATGTTTTGCCCTGTGTGTCCCCCAAAGACCAGCCGGGCTTGTTCATGGCAGAAGTGGTCCCGGGAGGCGTGGCGGACCAGGCCGGGGTCAGGGTCAACGATCGTCTGATAGAAATAAATGGACACGACATGAACGGCTGCACACACGAGCAGGCAGTGGAGAAGATCAAGTCTGCAGAGGGTTGCATCCTGTTTCTGCTGGCGGACGAAGAGACGCAGAGGCACTATCAGGGCACTCACGCTCAGATGGTATCCTGGCAAGCCACCACCAAGTACCTGCCACACCACCCCAGGATCGCAGACATGACCAGAGGCAGTGACGGCTATGGCTTTCTGCTAAAAGAGGAGGACAATCTTGCAGGTACAGGTGGCAGGTAACATTCAAAGAGAACACCAAAAAAAACACAAAATAAAACACAAATACAAAAGTACAATCACAAACAGAGCAAACAACAACAAAAGACAATAAAAAAATATATATCTAAGATCAGAGAGCCGCAATTTCAACTTTATCTATGTGCTTTTAAAGGGCAGTGGTTTTTACACCAGTTTGCATGTTCTCCCAGTGTTTGCATAGCTTTCCTCCGGGTGCTCCGGTATCCCCTACCACTAAAAATATGTACAATAGTACACTCCCGCCCCTTTCCAGGTTGAATACATATTGCACCAGAAATATGTGTGGTTCGAATCCCGCTCCCCACAATGCATTAAAAAAATGCTATTTAAACTTTATACATTATGTTTCATAGATTACATGTTCAGTGTTATTATTATTTTTTATTTATTTTATATAACAAAATTATGTATCCTTTTGCTTTCACTTTACAGTTGTTTGTTACTTTGGGATTAAGCCCAAAAGCCTTAATGCAAGTCACTGTGTATACAGCATTTACAATACACAATACAATACAATTTATTCTTGTATTGCCCTAAATAACAACAGAAGTCATCTCAGAGACTTAACAAAACCATTGAAATCACCAACACAGATCAGAGAATCAACAGTAAAAAACAGTAAAACACAAAAAGAATATAGAACACATGTTGAAAAATGTCATACATGTAGAATGTTAAAGTGTCCTGGATCATCACCACAGTCCTTCTAGTTGGACACTAACTGCCCTACAGACCCTCCTGCATCTGCAAAAGTGAGAAACCCACGGACGGACGGGTTATAGATCCAGGACCTAAGCTACAGAACGTGGGCCAGCGGCCGTTGAACGTGGACAGGTCCGGTGCAGGACTGAAGCACTCCCAGGCGGGTCGGGCAGGGCAGTCCACAGGTGTAGATCGAGGAGGCCAGGTCCAGATGTCCCGTCATCGTACCATGAAACAGACAATGGGACAACGGGTGAATAGCAATGAACAAACTACAGTCAAAATCCTAATAATGCTAAACAGGTAAAGTAGGAAGGAGGAAAGGATAGTGCTCAAGTTACCATACTTCTCCCAGCAAACTGACTCCCTATGCAGCTTGACTGACAGTCTGTTTATTGATTAGGTGTATGATGCCACATGTCCTTGAGCAAGACACTTAACCTGTCTTGCACCCCGTGTCTGCAAACACTAGTGTATTAGTGTGTGTACACATGGGTGAATGATTACCAGGTGGAAAAGCGCAATTCAAATTTCACGTTTGTTTATTATTACCTAGTGAAGACCTACAAGGAAAGGTGGTTGAATTAGTGTCTTGCCAAAGACAACAAAGATAGTATGTACTAGTAAATCTGTGCAGTCTTAACTAAAAAGTAATTCCCCACTTTTCAGATTCAGATTATTTGCAGCAAAACCACATTGGAATACATAGATAAAACAAGCTAAAAAGTGAAAGAAACCATTGTCACTGTCAAACCTCCTCAACAAGTTTGAATATCAAGAGCAAGATCATTGATGTGCTTTATACAACTGATAACAGCTCGTGGAAAGAAGCTGTTATCATAGACACATGTTGTAATCATTTATAAATCCAATCATGTTATGAAAGAATATTGTTGCGACTTGTATATACTATAACAGAGGACAGGGGTGATGATCCAGGACACCCTTCTGCCATTTACTACGCTGCCATGTGCTGGGCCCCGGGCAGCACAGAGCGGGACAGAAACAGACTGAACAAGCTGGTCAGGAGGGCCAGCTCCACTCTGGGCTGCTTCCTGGACTCTGTGGAGGAGGTGAGGGACAGGAGGGTGCTAGCCAAAGCCACCTCCATCATGAACAACACCTCCCACCCACTGCACAGGACTGTAGAGGAGCTGAGGAGCTCCTTCAGTGGAAGACTGAGACACCCTCAGTGTAGGAAGGAGCGCTACCGCAGGGCCTTTATCCCCACTGCTGTCAGACTGTACAATAAGTCACTTTAAATGATCACTGTGTGAAAACCTGCACTACTATTGACACTGTTTCCAATTGACACTTGTCACTTTTGTTGTACATAATTATTGTCACTTTTATTGTACATATATATCCTGCATGTAACATGTTTGCACATTTCCTCCTTTTGCACAATCTGAGTGTTCTATCCATGCTAAATGTGACATGTAATTTTCTCCTATGTGAGATAAATAAAGCACATCTTATCTTATCTTATCACCCAACATTCAACGACATTTATGACCATTAGTCATCTGCCCCTTGTGGTTCTATGTTTTCTATGTTTGGTTCTATGTTTTTTCTATGTCCTGTGTTTGAACTGTTTGATTCTCTAATCTGTGTTGGCAAATCGAAGGCTCCTCCGAGATAACTGCTGCGTCAAGTAAAGAGATGAGAGAGGACCCAAAAAGCAGGAATGCAAAAATAAGGTTTCAATGATTATGATAAATAAAAGTATAAATAGACACAGGTGAAACACACTAGGGTGGGGCAGACAATCAACAGGTGAACAGGACAGGAAGTAAAACTAAAAAAATAAAAATAAATAACATAAAAACAAAAACAAGCACAACATATCACAAAATCCACACTATGACATACTGTTGTGATTTATGGCTCATACAAAAATAGATTGAACTGAATTGAATAATATGCATAAGCCTGAATTACCTCACTCCCTTCTCTCTCTGTGGAGTCCCTAACCCTAACCCTAAGATAAATTCCCAGAACAATTGTAAAGCGCTTTGTGACTCTGGTCGGTGAAAGGCGCTATATAAATAAAGATTACTTACTTATTTATACTTACCTACTGTATAAATGACTTCTGCCTGTCTTCTACTTGAGGTCACTTCATCAGAGACATCGAAAGAGGCAGCCCAGCGGACAGGGCGGGCCTAATGGACATGGACAGACTAGTGGCAGTAGACGGGGGGGAGGTGGATTGTCTTTCACATGAGCAGGTGGTGGACTGCATAAGAATGTGCGGCCGACAATGCTCCCTCCTGGTGGTGGACAAGGAGACAGAGAAAATGTACAAAATGGTGAGTAAGAAATCTACAACACAATAGGAAATATCCTGCTTTGATATGGAGGTGAAACTATACGACTACTACTACTACTACTACTACTACTACTGAGGTCGACATCCAGGAGGTGCATGCCAGACCTATATACTTTTAGTGATAGGGCAAAATTATTATATTTTTCAAAAGTTAATTTATTTCTGCAATTCAACTTAAAATGTGAAACCAATAGACTTGTACATGCAAACTGTCATATGCCTTTGTTATATTATTAGCGATTATGGCTTTAAGTCCATTTTCAAAGCATTCCAATGTTTCGTTATGGTTATGGCATTCGTGGGTTTTTTTTACATCTATGAACCAATTATCAACATGTATCTCACTTTGCGTCTACGAGTTCGTCACAAATTAGTTTTACATTGTGAGTTGAAGTACAGTAAAAGTAAATAGACTTTTGAAAAAAAATCAAATTTTCAGAGTTTCATTTTAGAGACTAATAATTGGGAATGCTTTAGTGATTGAATGAATAATTATAGGGGTCTATCAGAACTATTAGTGTGTGGGCTTCTATCATCAACATCAATACGTCAGTCACTGTCAGAGAAACGACATCTGTATCTCCTCCGTAAGGGATCTGAAAAATACAAAGGAGCCATTGGTCCATATGGAGCGGGATGACCCATGTCCATAAATGTTTATACTGTAAATGTCCATAAATGTCAGAGATTCTCACTGTCCTTAGGGACCCTCCTGCACCGGGAAGGAATGACAGAAAAAAAAAGGCCAAAGAGGGTTCCCAACATCACGCCATTAAACAGACAATGTTTTTAGATCATCCAGTCTGCAAAAAAATCTAGAATATGGACTTGTTGTGGTATTGTTGGTTTAAAAAAGGGTCTCCCTATTGGGACAAACACAACGTATTGTTTACAAAGAATAAAAAGTTTGGTAATTTTTTTACAAACCAACAACAACAATATTATGACTTTGATGTGTGTTTTTTTGTATTAGGGAAACGTCTCCCCGATGATTTACTGGGATGAAATGAAGGATGTTACTTCACCTCCGAGTTACAACGAAGTAGTGAATAGACCTACTGCAGTCCGCCCACCATCTCCGGTCCCGGTCAGAGACAGCGATGAGAACCTCAAACCCAAACTGTGCAAAATGGTCAAGACCTCCTCTGGATATGGCTTCCACCTGAACGGCATCCAGGGCGTGTGTGGACAGTACATCAAAGAGGTCTGACATCACAATATCATACTCCATTGGTCCCCATCTTTTTTTAAAGATAAGATAAGAAAAGATAGACATTATTGATCTCACAATGGAGAAATATACATGTCATATTTGGCATAAACAGTATCACTCAGTATGAAAAGACAGGACTAGTGCAAACAGTGTCACCGGTTCTGTTCACTGCCTATATGGACATCATTCATTGGGCATTCATTGTTTGTGGACGATGTTGTCCTTTAGGCTCCAACGAACCAGGACCTGCAACATGCACTGGGACGGTTTGCATGGCCATGATTCCATGGTCACTCTCCTGGCGGGTGGAGAGGGCAAGGCCTTGATAGATAGATACGTAGATACTGTAGATGGATGGATAGATACAGTAGATAGATAGATGTCAGAGTACAATACAATACAATTTATTCTTGTATAGCCCTAAAGAATAGAAGTAGTAGCCCGTATAAACCTCATTCTATTACTCTATGCTATAAGGATTAGTACTTGCAGAAGTATGAATAAGAGTCCAGTTACCCCCAGTTGGGAATCATAATCCCACAGTGCCGTACTTACTGGAGCTGTTTGTTCTCAGGTGGTGAAAGGCGGTGCTGCGGACAGGGCCGGGCTGGAGAACGACGACATGGTGGTGGAAGTGGACGGGGTAAACGTGGAGAACAGCAGTCATGAAGAAGTAGTGGGCCTGATCCGGAGCAGCGGCAGCAGTCTGGAGCTGCTGGTGATCAGTAGGAACATCCACGAGAGGCTCACGGCAATGGGAGTCCCCATCACACGTGCTCTGCTGGGGGAGACGTCTTACGCTCAAGTCCACACTCCTGAAGCTGCAGATGTAAGACCAGAGACACCACCACAACCAGAAGAACCAGAACCAGCAGTGAGATCAAGGGTGAGATGCACACAATTACTCACAGATTAAAAACATATGCACAATAAAACTGTTTTGTTTTTGGTTTTTCAGAGCTCATCTGAGTCGTCTTGTGCATCTGAAGCCAGTGTGGATGAGAGATTTTGAGCCTTCTATCTATACGTAACATAACCAGTCACCACTGCTATTAGCTAATATGAAATTAAATAAACAAATGCAATTGTCTTGAATATTTATATTTGTGTGTATATTGTGTTCATTCTTCTTCAGTCAAAACAATAGAAAAGTTTGAAGCATCAAGGATAAACCAGACATAGAAATGACACAGATGTTGAAACAGAGGTTAATACCTGGTACAATGAAAGATTGTTACATATTTCTGTTGCTATGGTTCTGAGAGACGACAAAATCCATGATAGCTTCTTATAATTGAATAACTGATTGTACATAGTGAAACTCAAAAGTTCATTTACTTCTGGAATGTGAAACTGTTATAAGATAGAAGACAGAAGATAAGAAGATTAGACTTGTCACATGTAAATGACATATCCCAAGTCTTTGATACAATTTTGATGATTATGGCTTCAGTCCATTTATATAAAGAAAAAAAATGGGTTTATTTGTTTGCTTTTTATACAAGCTGTGAGCCATTGACCAACAATATAACCAAGTAAGGTTTGAGATATCTCACTCTGTGTGTATCAAGCGTCCGCAATATATTAGTTTCTTCTTTTTGCAAGTTGAATTACAGAAGTAAGATTCAAGATTCAAGAATGTATTTGTCATTTGCAGTAGAACCACATTAGAAAAACTGTGCAGGAGTACCTCAGTGTGCACCAGACAGAGAAGATAGTACACAACAGCGCTCCTGCCAGAAGTAAGTTAGTAGATTTTTGAACAATAGTCTAATTTCCGAGATTCACTTGTATATAGTATAGAGCAGGGGTGTCCAACCTTGTTCAATCTGAGAGCTACTATTATACAAACAAAAAGGCAGAGAGCTACTCCTTTTTGCAGTCGTAAAAAATCTGTCTAATAATTACGACAAAACATGGAGAACACATGTACAATACATCATAATACTGCTTAACTGTATTCATACTTATAATATATATATATAATGGCTCAAAAAGTATTAATTCAAAATAATTTGTTAAATTCTATTTCCTTTAGCGAGCTACTGGCGGCTCCTGAGCTACAGGTTGGAGACCCCTGGCATAGAGTGTCTGTGATTAGTAAAATAAAATCAAAAATAAGCTAAATAATTTAAACCACACTTTTCCCAGTAGAATTTAATTCATTCATTTCAAGTCCCGCTCCAAAAGTCCAGTGTAATTGTCCATATCCATGTTCCGGCTCCACACTTTGATTGGATGAGCTGGTATCTCTCATAGAGCCATGTGCTTCTCTGGTGCCTGCTTGTGGGCCAGATACAGGAAGAGGATGCTGGACAGAGCGCTGACCAGGAAGATTACATCAAACCAGCGATGGTAGAAGTTGAACTGCAGCTCTCCCAGCACCTCGGTCACAATGGAGCGGTACTCCAGAGGCATACTCATCCGCATCAGCAGGACCGAGGACACAAAGTACATTCCCTGCGAGAAAATCGGACAAAAACATGTCACTCTCAATTTTGGGAGTGAGTTTGTTTGGAACTGTAAAGTGCAGAGAACTCACCATTATCTGAGCGAGGACCAGCACTATAACATTCGAGGACTTGCTGCTGGAAATAGCATAGAAGAACTAAAAGACAGAACAATGTGGTAAACAAAATGTCCTGGAAACAAACTCATATGTGTTACCATAAAAAATAAAAAACCTTAGTGAGAGTGATGAGTAAGCCTCTGATGGATGTCACGATTATTATTCCGACCAAGATGAAAGAGATGTGCTGGGACCAAAATTTTACCTAAAGGCATAAGACAGAGGGATGTGAAAGCTATATAAGATACAATCCATGGAAAACAGTTGTAGCTGCGAATCTCTACATACATCAAACTGTATTCCCAAATAGTTCACTGTGATTTCAATGCCTCTTGTTACTGGATCCGTCTTTCCAACCCGGTCGAATACAATGTTTATCGTTGCCTATCAAAAAAATAATAAAAACGACAATTATAACAGTTGGTTAATACAAGGAGATAAACAACAGGAATCGTACCATGAAGATTTTCCAAACGCAGTAGATGGAGAAAAAGTACCCCAGAAAGTTAAAATATTTTCCTTGGAATGTTTTGGAATACTCAATTCTTTCCTGTAAGAAGTACAAAGAAGTGGACGACCAATGAGACAATGAACTTACCATGACTTGTTTACTATCTTTAGTGACAAATTGATACTAGACTTTGGCCTCACTTTCAATGGAGGTCAGAGAAATAGTATTTTGTATTTTACTATAAATTCCAGCTGAGCAACATCATTACCTTGGTGGACTGCAGGTCAACAGTCTCAAGGAAAAGCTGCCGGCTGAGCTCCTCTAAAGCGTCAACCTCTTGCTGAATCAAAGACAGGTCTGCGGAAAACATTAATTCATGAAAAACACATTTTGATAATAATCACTTGGATCTGTGCTGTTTCATACTTTCACTGCCTGTTTGTGTAGAGGTCACACTCTTGATCATGCCCCAGAACCCAGTTTGCTTGTTTTGATCTTCTCCACGCTGGTAGATTTGCCTCCGGGTCATGGCAATTCTACAGTAAGAGGAACATATTAACATCAAAGTAAAAACAGCAAATGCAAGTTTACGAGCGAACAGAGTGTAGTGACACACGCATCCTAGTCCCAGCCATAGACTGTAAATTTTAACGGATGTAGTCACGCCTATCTCCGCCGTTCTAACTAATGTGCCACAACTTCCGCGGTCTATGGGCAGTTTCAAAATGGCCGCTGGAAAATGTGAAAATGCGTCAGCCGGCACGAGCCCCATTCATTTAACCAGTGCCTTCAAAAATTCACAGCAACTAAACTAGACTGGTCCAAAAAAATTCACCCCCCTCAGTATTGACACACATGTGGAACAGAAAGAAAGACATGTGTAAAGACGTTTTTGAGAGCTAATGCTATATGTTAGCATTTAATAATTCTCATTCCGGGTCCACCCCCATTGGCCCGGGGTGGTATTGCATGCATGTCAGCGCACGTCATTTTGGCCACTTTTGAGCCGGGACCCGCCCCCACTGGTCTCAGCATGCAGAACCATAGAAGTACAAAAAATGAAACGTGTGTAAAAAGGGCGCACTTTCCTTCCCTGTGGTGAGTAAATTATTATAATCGATGGATTATTATAGCCTGTCCATTTCTCATTTTCTCCCACAGAAATACATTGGTCATCTTCCCCGTACGGTCCAATAGCTCTGTCTGTTTTTTATCATTGCATTCTGTTTTAAATGCCCACCAAGATAACCACTGTTGTGATTTAGGGCTAAACAAAAACAAATACAATATCGTTCTACCTTTTTTTCTTGCTGACAATCATGTCCATTGTTTGTAGCAACCGCCTCTCCAGTGCAAGTATGTCACTATCCGTTACATTCCTGTGAAATATTGTTTAGGATATTTATATTGTCACATGAATAACGTACGTTTAGAAATGTGTTTTGTCATTGAAAAAGAACAGCAATAGAGTGGTGAGTATAATTCTACCTGAGAAAATATGACATGTATGTGTAGGGGCAGTTGACAGCACCAAAGCCCGACAGTAAAGCCATGAGTGTGACTCCTATGACTCCAACTCGACTAATAAGCTGCTCAATGGACAAAATTCCTGAAAAAATATACACAATTTTAAATAATTACGAAACGCATTAATAACAATCTCAGCAACTTTTACCGTGCTTTGGACTGAGGATTGGAAAAGGGTCTCCCAGTTTCCAGAAGAAGTACATGAAGGTAAACCAAACCATACAAGCAAAGAGTAGCCGCTGTCGGTGCACTGCAGTGGTGGTGGTACACACAGGTATAAAAACAATGATAATATATATGAAAGTTGATATTGTACGGTATGGACGTACGCAGTCGAATGTTGCTTACGACAAAGTAACCAATATAGAAAGGCACAACAAAGATCAGCACGAGCAGAATCACGTAAAGGTTGAGCTTCCAGTGGAAATACCGTGAACTGTGACGGGAGCAGAAAAGTAGCCGATTAAAAAACCTGGTTAAAATGTTGAAGATGAGAATAATTTGTACTCGCCTACTGCTTAAGGCACCCAGGATTTCAAAGATGATGAGCTCAAACATGGTACACGAAAAAGCAAAGGTGACCGAGAAAACCACCTGCACCACATACTGCCGCACCTGACAGACAAAAACAGACGGTTAGTGTGAAAAAATACATACATTAAAATAGACTGAATCACTTATCTATAGATAGATAAGTCATATTACGTCATTTTTGGATCAAGGCTTATTAGAACAAATACCTCATAGTCTTTGAACAGCTGACGCATGAAAAACAACCACCCAAATCCAAAGAACAGCACCTAAAAATGTGTTATAAGATCCAAAGTCAAAGTCATTCATTTCAACTCATTTGTCTAAAATGTATATAACAGAGGCTTTAGACTGGATCAGCATAACACAGTAAGAAAACATTTTGAATATGTCAAACATATCATATTCGAAAAGGCATGAGTTGGAGTACAATAATTATTGCATTCCTATTTGCTTTATACCGAATAAACAGCACTTCTATACTCTTTTATCATAATCAATGTAACAAATACAACACAAACACAGAATTAAGCAGCACAAAGAGATAAACAGTTACTTTGCTGCAGTTTCATCATTCTTACCCATTATACTGTACATGCATTACACTTTTTTGGGAATTCAATAATAATTGTATTGCTATTGATTTCATCTTTTAGATTATTTCTCATAACTGGACAAATTAGTTTGAGTGTCGTTCGAGAATAATGCATAATGTAAATAACATACGCAGCATTATTGTCCTATAATTCTGCAAGGCAGTGTGCATTAGAGAGCACTGCCTCGACAGCTAAAACAGAGAGTTCTTCACAAAAAGTAGAGGCAATAAACAAAGTGTACCTGCGAAGTGAACATGATGACTGAGTCCACCAAGAAAGACATGCTTCTTGTTTGTTGCTGCTCAGAGTGTAAAGGAAATGGTTTATATTCCGTTAAAGTCCACCAGATTCAAGAAAAACATTGTATAGTGATAAAGCACATTGGTCTGTCCAGAAATGAGCATATTGTAGAGTTTATTTCGTATTTTCTTTGGAAAACCATAAAAACCTGTCCTGCTGATAGTGTCATACGTCATGATAACGCGACAAAACCTCCGTCGTCTAGCGATGACGTCTCAGAATTAATAAATAAACACAAATGTATTTTTTAACATTTTATTTCCTGAAAAGTGTACTGTTTTATGTGATTGTTTTTTATCCAAAACATAAATATTACGTTGCTTTACTTAAAGACGCGCAAGAAATATGCGATATAGTTCCATATTATTCCAGCAGATGTCGACAGTTATCAAAACATATAAGCTATCCAAATGAATAGCTCATAATTGCAAGAACACACATTTTACTTTGAGTATGCTGAGTTTATATAGTTTATGACATACTTAAATTACATTGCGTTAAACGTGAGGGTGGATTGCGCATTACATTTTGATGACCACCGAAGATAGTTCTCTGGCTCCAGACCCCAGCGCAGTCATGCTCCTGCCTTCTTCAGCTCCTGGCGAATGGCACACATCGGATCCAGAGACGCACCAGACATTATCTGCCGCTGCTGGTGGAGAAAAGACGAAAATGTGTTTCTAGTCGGACTGGAATGTAAGAAGGCACTGCTGAATTATATAAAGATGGAGAGAATGTTGCAGGGATAAAAATCTTACTGACTTCTGGACCAAGGCAGTGTAAGTTTTTTTGTGTTTTTTGTATGCTATGTGCTGCTCAAACAACTCAATAATAGGCCTATACTTTCTTCGTGTGTCCTTTAATTTTGTCTTATCTTTGAAAATCTGTTGATTGAAGTGTAGCAAAACATTTTAAATAGTTTGCAAAGTAGCCTATTTCGGCAAGGCAAGTTTATTTGTGTTGCCCAATTCATAAACAAGGCAATTCAAAGTGCTGAACAAATCAAGATAGCATTAAAATCATAAATAATCACAGTACATTAAAAAGAAAGATAAAAATGAAAATATTTAAATGTTTTGTGTTCTGACTGAACAGTAGTGAAGATGAGGGTCCTCGCCATCGATACAATTTATCTACCAGTTTTCCTATTGCTGTTGATGGCTGGGAGATTACAGGGTGAGTTTGCAATTTTTAGTCCAACAATATTTATGGTCTGCTGTTTGTAACTGTTGCTAACCTGCTATTGCATATTTCAGGAAAAGTCACAGCCCCACAGTTTGTGCTGGCTCCAGTCAACAAGCCCTTCACTTTGACTTGTAGTGTGTCCAGGGATAGGGGCGAGTCTCTGAGGCAAGTGCACTGGATAGACGTAGAGAATAAGACCCTGGTGACCTACGAGCCGGGCATCAAAGACAGTGTGAGTGGCCAGCAGCATGTGGAGGTTGGCCCTGCACCCAAAGACACCTCTAACATCATCTTAACCAGGGTGAGCTTCAGGGACCAAGGCTGCTATACCTGCATCTTCGACATGCACCCTTCTGGCTCACAGCAAGGAACAACGTGCATCACTGTTACCTGTGAGTACTTTTTCATCAATGTGTCATGCAACAAAAAATTATAAATGTTAGTGTTGTTAGTTGTGGTTTCTGGCTTCCACTTTGCTATGAATATGAGATCATTGCTATTATCTTCGCCCAATGTCTTTGGCAGTCATTCGGAAGACTTGATTTATTACAGTTTATTGGAAACTGTGCTGGACATTGGAACCTGTAGCCTGGTGTGAGGAAGGAAGGAGACTTAAAGAAAACATCTGTACAGTATACAACCCAATGCGATAAGATATTTTGAACTAGCGTTTTTATTACAGAAAGATGCCTGTTTTGATGCTTTTATTTGAGTTTAATGCTTCTGAGCTTGAAAATCTATTAAACCAAATAGATTTAAAAAAATAAAGATAGATAGATAGTTAAACTTTTTACTACCTTGACATTAAGTAGGTCACTTGAATATCTGGAAATACATACACAACATAACAAATAGTAACACAAACTATATGTTGCTATTCACTGTTTCACTGTCAGCTATACATTTGGCTTTGAATAGTCACATGTGGTACAACGTCAAGTTGTTCACATTCACTGCAAAAATGATAAAACACGGTAATAATTGCTTGAATCGAGTGATTTTCATCTAAATGTGAGAACATTCTGACTGTCTTAAAATAAGATTGGACAATGGGACAATCCATTTAGGCTTATTTCAAGAACTGTTTCTTCATTTTCCCATTCCAAGGAAGACATTTATTTTATTTTTATTTTTTTTAGAACAAGATCATTTGGCTGGTCCTATTGGCAAATCTTGTTTTAAGCAAGTCAAAAATATTTTTAATCACAGTAATGATCCCTGAAGGTTTACCTATTTAAAATAAGATAAGATAAGATAACTTTTTTTTCGTCCCACGGTGAGGACATTTCAATTTGAATACTATTTCAGCACACATTGTTGAGATAGTTAAGAGTCATAAATATTTGGCCAGGATCATAAATCATGATATTATGCTACTGCACATGCGGACCCACTGTGGGTTATATGAATTATTAGTGTTCGCTGCCTTGATCCAAGCTCTCCAAACACAGCGCTGACTCTATAGGGCATTCGTCTCAGTTCTGTTAATGAAAGGCAGAGAAATTGGGCTTATGCCTCTAACGACAAGCAGATGTTGGAGATTCCACTCACCGTTCTGTGCGAGGTGGTCTCATAGTTGTGACTCTATTCTTACCTTATGTCTTTTACATTTTTTGTGCTTATTTCTGACAGCTCAAGTCACCACCGAAGGCAATAAGACAGCAGTGAGTGGCAAAAGGGCGCTCCTCTCGTGCTCTTACGGCTTGCCGGCGACACAGGTGGAGTGGAAACGCAGAGGGGCAGATGGGCAGCTCAGTCCTGTGGCGTCCTATGAGAAACGGGGCGATCCCGTGGTGGAGCCGGGGTACGAGGGAAGGGCGTGGCTCAGCTCGTCCGTGTTTGAAAGTCAGCTCACCATCCAGCCGGTGATGATCCAGGACGAGGGCTGCTACACCTGCCTGTTCCACATGCCCCGCCATGAGCCCAAGACCTCCACGGTCTGCCTCGCCACATACGGTAACGGACACTCATTTTTTTAAGATAAGTTAATATTTTAAAGAAGATGACTACAACCCCTTATACTTATTTTATTTTATCTTAGTATAGAGTTATTATTCATTTATCTTGTGGGGACAATTAAGTATCCTTTAATCTTAATCGTAAACTAAAGAAAAACAAATACAAAACAAATATTGAACAAATCCATTGACACTAGTGCTTAGAGATACAATATATTTTCAGGTATTTTGACAGCGTTAGAACAATAATGACTTATGAATAGAATGTATCGAAGTTTGTTTTATTCTTTAGTGGCTATCAATGCTTGTATTATGTCTTTAGTATCCACCCATCAATCAGTTTCGCTCCACTTTATCCATGACTGGTGGGGGCAGCAGTCTGTGGAGAGATGCCCAGACTGGCCAAAGCAGCTGAGAGACCCCTTAAGGTCCAGACTGGACCTTAAGACATAGTGGGTGCTACGGTTTGCCCTACCACTGAAAATATTTACATTAGGCAAAAATCCTCCTGCTCTGGTCTTGTCCAAGCCGAGCATCAACATCTGGAGAAACAGTCGGTCCCAGGTGCTGTGTACTATGGTAACCACTGCTCCTGACAGAGGCCCTAGCGTCAATGAAGGACGGGTCAAATGCAGATGATACATTTCCCTACAGGGACAATAAAGTAGATAGATAGATACTTTCCTACACAAGGCAACACAAAGTGCCTCACAACCCATATCACATCATGCATAAATCTTCAAAAATTAGAATCTACATAAAGATAAAAACACAATTAGAGCACAATAAATATTAAAAACATAAAAAATAAATAGTAATAAGTAGTTAAAAATCTTAAAACATTAAAATCACAATTGGGATTAAAGTCATAAATAGCCAAAGTGCATTAAAAAGAGTAACGATAAAATCAAAGATACAATCATTCAGTTCTGTGCACAGCTAAACAGAACTGTTTTTAGCCTAGATTTGAAAACTGCAAGAGTAGATGCCTGTCTCACATTCTCATGAAGACTGTTCCAGATTTTAGCTGCATGAATCTGAAATGCAGCCTCCCCATATCATTCTAAAAGTAGCTAACAATAGTAATAACATGAATATTTTGGTTGTCTCAAAGCCTCTGGATAACCTCACTAAAATGTGCTGTATACTCTATATATACTATAGAGTATACTATATACTTGGCCGTCAGCTCAGGTCACAGATATTGGGGGAGTTTGTGTGGAGACAGGTGCCTCTCCTGAGATTTGCACTGGAATGTTGACGTCTTTCCTCTGATGGTTCTGCTGATCCTGATGCAGACATCCTGGCCTCAGTTCTCTTTCATTCACGCACAAAGACAAAGCAGTGTGTTTGTCCTGTGGAGAGGACACTATGGAGGCAGGGACTGAGGTCGTATGTGTGACTGTGGTAGTGTTCCCCATGTACACTGATGCCTTCTGTGCTTCTCCCACTATGCCCGGTCTCAAGTCTCCTCAACAGAAATGCTATTGTTTTGATTGGCGCAGACGTCATGGTTTCTTGTGATGACATACGTAGTCGTGTCTGTCGTGTATATTCCCGCTCATTGAAAGCAACACTGTCTTTTTAAAGATAGAAAACATTCATAAACATTGAAATTAACAACTGAATCATACAAACGGAAGCGTAATGAGCACAATACAGTCAAGTCAAAACTAATAGCGAATTCTAGAGGTATAGGCTAGGTTTGTAATTCCAGAACAGGTGGAGGATTCTGATAAGTATTTACAGGAGCATGGACTGCCTCTGCTGTACCCCTCCTAAAAGCAGGGGTACAGACAGCAACCTCTAAAATAAACACACTTTCGACTCGCGACCCTGACTACAAACTGGAAAGTAGCAGTTCATTTTGAAGCATCCAAACTTGTAAAATAGCAAAGACTATATAGACTATATATATATATAGACTATATATATATATATTTATATAGACTATAATAGAATTCTATAATAATTATATAGCCTCTAATCATGTTTTTTTATTTGATAATGTCTTTTGTTGGTAGAATGAGGACTGTTTTTAAAAAAAATGTATGAAGATTTATGTTGATTACTGTTTATTACAAATGTGGCTAATCTGGAATGAAATGGTTCATTAGGAACATTATGTACTGTGTGTTGTGACATGTGGTTGTCATGACGTCTATGCGTGCAGCGGAACTTCTATTTGACCCCTTTCTGCACAGGCTACGGCAATCTGTCAGGGACACACATGCCAAAGTAGCACCACCTGCATGTGAAAGCCAAAACCCATTATATCTTGGAAAAGTTAAGCTGGGCGGGGCCTGGTTAGTGATGGGAGACCTCTGGAAACACAAAAAGTGCTAAACTGTCGTTGTGTCCTTAGGCAACACATTTCACCCAAATGAGTCTGGTGCGTGTTCAATGTATTCTATATAAAATCGATGCATTATTATTATTAATATTATTATTGTTATTATTGTTATTATTAAACTGCAATCACACCACCCAGAATCGATTGTCACTAGTTGTACTAATAATCCTGTACGCTACAGTTTCTGGAGATGGCGTCCTCTCATCAAATGATGGTTATCAGAGCAGACATCGGTCTAGTGACCACATTATTTTCTATATTACTGTCAACTGTGATTTGTCTCCACCCAAGTTCTGGATGATTTTCTCGACCTAAGTTTTGACACCAGCCAAATGTCTGTGGCTGTGAGTGATGTTGCCAATAAAAATGTTCCTTTTTCCTGCGTATTACATTCCAGCATGAGCACAGACAATTGAAAACAGGCACAGGTTTACTTAAGGATTATAACGGAGCAGGAATTCACATAGTTTAGTGAGTCCAAAGGCTTTGGTTCCAGGTAACATCCCCAAGATCCTAACACTCGATGTGCTACAAGATCACAGAAGCCTGTGCAAATGAAAGCTTCATCCTGCTCAAAGACACGACTATATCCTGTGTTCCACATGGTGTGAGTTCAACATGTAATGAACAAGCATGAAGGAAGCCAAGAAGAGTCTCAGCTATATCAAATCAGAATGTTCAATTTATAATGCATCGGTTTTATAAAGAACTTTTTTATACTTGTCCTTGCCTAAGGACACAACCACGGTTTGGCACTTTATAGCCGCAACCGCCCCACTGTGGCTCCTGGTGTTTCCAGAGGTCTCCTATCACAGGCACTGCATCGCTTCAGAGGTGGCTTTCACACGCAGGTGGCACCACAATTTTTATGTGAAAATATGCATTTTAATAATTAATAAATAAACAAGCAATGTCTCAATAGGAGAGCAAAAGAAAGGGAAAATAAAAACAAAACAAAAAGAACGACATTCTTGGTTGATGGATTTGTCGAAGGGCGTGCGGCAAAACTATGTGTATCTGACCAAAAGTGTTGTTAGGAGACTTTCGAAAGAATCACTAAAGATAGAACTGGTTTGAATGTCAAAGTACACCAACATCTGCAGCTGGTTTTCTCTATTACGGCGTCTAGTTTTTGCAGTGTTACTGTTTGCATAGAAATCCTCGAGATTTAGATACCAAAATGAGTTCACCGATGCAATATTTGGTCGATGAATGGAGTATAGACAGCCCTACTCTAACTATTGCCCCACAGACTGTTGAATATCTTCTCTTTTTTACTTTTTGCAGTTCTCCCTAAGCCTCACGTCACCTACAAGTCCACCTCTGCAGGGCTAATCGAAGCCAACTGCACCTCGGTATCTCGACCTCCCGCAGAGATCGTGTGGAATGTGGAGACGGACAACCGCACAATGGGCCCCCCGAAGACCAGCCAGACCCCGCAGGAGGACGGCACCACCCTGGTCATCAGCACTCTCACCGTCCAATCAGGGCTGCTCAAAGACGTGTCCGTCAAATGCCTGGTTCACCACAAGGGCCTGGAGTCGGCCATCGCTGTATCCATGAACACAAAGAGTGAGTCGACGTCAAAGTACATGTCTATACTGGGACGGAACACTATGGATTTATACTTTAGATTACATTAATCCAAGGGGAGATGTTCAGGGAGAGCACAGGAGCAGGTCTAATTGTATAAATGCAGAGCCACCCTCAGACCAATCTTCTCACAGCTAATTTCCACAGTAGGCGTTAACAGCGCGTAAGTGTTGACTGCGCGCATATGCGTGTAACATTATTTGGCTGTATGTACACTGGTCGCGCGCGCTGGTCCGCTGCTTTTGATGCTGTCCCTGTGTAGTCTGTGGAGCAGTGTAGAGGACAGTACGGGCCAGAAGACTGATGTAGAGCAAAACAAATCACATGTATGTGTTTGTCTTCATGGTCTCTGCGCGCTGTTTGGGCAAGACGCGAGTCTTTATGGATGAAAAAAAAAACAATGTCCAGAATCACTGTAAAACCTGCTGCTCCTGCGTGTGTGTGTGTGTGTGTATGTTTTGACTGGGAGATGCTTTGTTGCGCGCACAAAATTAGAAATCCATCCTAAATTAGGCGCAGCCTTGCGTCAATACATCCGCCACACGCGCGTATAACACTAGTAGTGTAAATATCCCCATTGGTTTACATGTAAAAATGTTACGCGCGTTAGTTTAATGTGGGGTTATTCATAATTTAGAGTACAATGGACATAATGTCCATGTTATGAAAAGCAAAATTATCAATCCAAGAGCAGTCTGTCATTTGGGTTGCCAGTGTGTTTCAAGGTTTGTTGGGGATTTTTTTCACACACAAAAAACTAGCACCACATTTATGTTTGAATGAAAGCAGGGACCATAAATAAGTAGGTGATTGCATCAGTAATCAGTGCATAGGAGTGCCACGTGTCATAGGTACACAGGACGATTCTGGAAACAAAAGTTAGTTTCCACTGAGAGTGCATATTACATACCGTCCCTTTAAATCTGTCAGTTTTTATACTGAACAAAAATATTTGTAATTGAACTTCAATGCATCTTCAAAAAAACTACTAGTGCTTCCTACTGTACAAATGGTAGAAATATGGTCCTTTTGAATTTGGGGCCATATTCATATCTTTGTTTAATGGGCCCCATCGTTCTCTGAGAATAGGACCTCCTCAGTGACATCACAAACAATGTTTTCTGGTGGTATTTGCAGTATTTTCTCTAATTACTTTATCACTGTAAACGTTATGTGCCTGTAATAACAATCTAATGTCCAGTATTTTGTGTCTTTTTCAGTTGGCACGGCTCTGACGATCCTCATCTCCGTAACCACTGTCGCTGCCCTCTTGGTCTTTTCTCTTTGTATCTGTCTTTGGAAATGCTTCTTACAAAAAGAAGGTATGTCTCCTTTTCTCTGTAACTTTTGTCAAACAATAAACAAGAAAAATCAAAATAACGATCTGGCTTATGTACATATATAACTGACTCCTCCAAATAGCATGCACATTTTCATTTGACTAATTTTGCAGATGACAAAAGACGACAGCGTTTCACGGAGCCGGCCCTGTGAGTCGTCCCTGTGAGTCGTCTCTGTGAATCGTCCCTGTGAGTCGTCCCTGGTCACCTGATATCGGTCCACTGACGGAAGGAGACAACACTTTGACACAATCTTATTATTATATAAGTTCTTCCTCCAGTTCTAGCATGTATGTCAGTGTTGTTAATGGTCAGGACATGGATAATTACTTGGTCATACTGGCATTTCATATTCACTGCACAAATTGGGCTCCAGGAAAACTTATGTAAAAGCCTTGCCTTATCATATCTACAGTATGTGTATAATTTAGATCAGCACTTCTCAATCTGTGGTCAATACATTTCTAGTATCTGTTTTATGCTCTCACTTTTGAGTTTATCATATAATCTAACAATATTATGTTCAGACCTGGCAACTTTAAGCATCTCTGTTTAAGTCCTGGTGGTACTCAGAAAGACAAATATTTTCTTAGGTGGAGAAGATTGAGAACAACTGCCCTAGAGTCCCAAACAGGAATGCGTGTCCTATCGATGGACCTTTGACAGTGCGGATGAGCGTTCACTTGTGGTCAAAAAGCATGCCTGTTTTCTTGGCATCGGAGTGACCTTAATGTGAGGATTTGGAGAGGATTATTGTTAATATGACCTTGTTAAAGCTGAGGTACATCACTTTTTTCTTTCATTAAAAAATACATGTTGTTCGTCCCATCTGAAAGAGTTTTGTACAACAACAAAGTCTTACCACAACATGCTGAATTTATCTTGTTTTCTTGGTAGAATTAAAAGTATTTGGTTCTTCTATAGCAAGCGAAACATATCAAGTTAATAACATTGCTAACTATTGTCTGGTATAGAAGAACCAATTTTTGTCTTGATCTTAATAGAAAACATCTTACCTTGTGCATAGTGAGTCACTATTTGGCACTTTGGGCTGAGAGCTGATTTGCTGAAAGTGAGGGTGGTCCTCTCGTTATCACTTTTCCGTCTGAAAATGCTCATTTTGCTTATTATATGCAAGTATTGAACAAAGCGTTTCATTATTCAGGGGGAAAAGTTGAGTATGATTGTAGATGATGACTCTCCTCCTGCTTCTCGGAAACTCTGACTTTCTGTTTGAGCACTTTCCCTTTGTGTATAATACTTTTCTTTATGTGTACAGTACAGGCCCAAAAGAGGCCAAAGGTTTCTTCTTTTTTATCATTGCTTTTCTTGTGTTTGTCCTCTGAGAACTCTACTGTTGTGATTTAGGGCTATACAACAACAAATTGAAATTCAATTGATTTCTGCATCATGAGCTACTGTTGCGTCATTGAAGACCGCATTTTGAGCCGACACAGATAAATATATACTGTATATTATAGATAGATTAAAGGGAGTGTAAGTAATATGCGATCTTAGTGGTCTAATAAAGTCATTACAATTACAATCCAAACTTTTGGCGTCAGAATCTTCTTGTCTGTGACATATGCACTGATTACTGATGAGGCAAGAGCTCTTGTGTGTGCGTGAGGAAGTCCTGCACAGTTATTCCAATGTGTTTTGTTTCTGCAAATGGCAAATACACTGAATCATGAATCTTAATCCACTTACTGGGTGGATTTTATATGTTATGTTATATATATATATGAAGGTCTGGGATCGTGTCACAGCAGAAGACATTTTATTGTTTATAAAAAATACACGACTAAAGTGTATTGAAACCAGAGCACGGTCCTCCAAGAATCACAACGACAACAATAGCCTCCACCTTCAGATAACCAAAACCTCAAGCGGAAAATCCCTGACATAAAAATGTACAAAAAATATATAATGTCCCTTTAAATGTTGTTCAATGGACACAGAAGTGAGTTTTAAAGACATGTCCAACAAATCATGGCGGCAACTGTCTCCCATTGGTCTCCTGAGAGTTGTGCTTAAGTTCTCAAATGCCTAACATTCCGTGCGGTTGGTTGAACCTGCCTCCCAGATGGATTTTCATTTGAAAGATTTTGCTTCTAAAAATGTATCTTTAATTGGTCTCACATCTCATACACAAGTTGAATAACCTTCACTATTGAGCAACCAGTTGATATCACAGCGTAATAAACCATCAGACCCTGTCAAAGGAATTCATTATTTGCACAAAAAGAAGGCACACTGCAAATGATGTGTTTAGTTTCACAGCAGCGGAATTAATTATTGCTAAAAACATTGACTTCCAAATATATAAACCGGCCTGGGTGATTGAGTTTGCCATAAGTCCAGCCTATTTACATTTGCTTGTGAATATTGTCTTTTCTCTCTTCTCTCTCTCTTTCCTGGTGTGTCAACAGTTAAGCCATGGAAGCTTCAACATAAACAATGAATTGCGTATTTTATTTGTTAAAGAAGTATTTTCTAACTTATATTGCATCTTGAATGTCAATTCTAACAATAGCCCAATTACAGCTGTTATTTGGGTTCCATGCTAAAGAGAGATTGCCTTATAGAAAGCCTCAACCAAAGAAAAAAAAAAGGAGAGATTTATATAACTGTACATGTGTTATAATACGTTGTACATTTTTTTAAACCTCTTCCTTGTGAACTGAAACCACAGAGGAGACGTACAGTCACCACACAAGCTAAGTAAAGACATTTTACTTTTGTTTCCTGTTTGCTTAAATGTTTTCTTTGAGGGCAAGGCATGAGAATTGTTCAAATGCTCTTTACAACATAATTATTGACTTTATTCTGAATCGTCTATATGACAACGACATGGAAGCATAGTTTAAGGATAAAAAGCTGTTGGTGTAAAATAATGATATTGTTTGGGCTCAACTCAACACTGACAAAAGATGACAATGTATATTTGTTTAAAGCTGGAGGCACCTAACCTTCTCTTTTTTGTAGTAAAGCATTTGTTGTGTTTATTCCAACAGAAAGTCTTGTAAATGAAAAAATGCTGCAAACCAATCAGACCACAACATGTCGTTTTCATCCTACTAGAACGTGTGTTGTCTTTTGCATACAAAAAAGCGTCACTATTTGACACTTTGAGAGGGTGGCCTTCTCTGTTTCCTGTTTGAAAAAAGCTGATTTAAACATGTGATAGTGGCCAAAAATATATGCATGTGAAAACTATAAATAGAACTGTTTTATTCCATAGCCATATTTGTGTGGTTTTTCCTTTCAAACCAATAGAAAATCTCAAAAATGTTTCTTTTTATAAAAAGTGATTAATTTAAAGGTGCAATATGAAAGATTTTCACGGCCCTAATCTGTCAAAAGTTAGTAATTAAGCCGAGATATTTGAATTTGTTTTACAGCCTCTAAATCTTATTATTGATTTCATTTCGATGTCCCGCCCTCCACCCTTTCACCAACTAGAAAGTCTGTGATCCGGGTTGCCAGAACTCACCTTCTCGAGCTTATCTCACTGGTAAAGAACCATGTGGACTATAAAAAGTCTTGTTATGATTCTCAAATCATTAATAACAAAAAAAAGAATAAAACAAGGATTTCTATCAAGGCCTTTGTAAAAAAGGTGTTGGTTATAGATTTGTTGTTGACAAAACTTGTCCATCCAGATTTTATGCTCCCAGCTGGAATCTGCATATCTGGCAACCTGAGTCAGTGAGAGTGGGAGAGGTTGGAGTACCCCTTTTGGCCAGATTTTTTACATACTGCTCCTTTAAGTTTTTTTTTTTGCCTTTACTCACTTTTACTAAGTGCTAAAGTGGTTTGTTGCTAGGCTAAATGCTAACGACCCAATGCTAACTGCTGACGGTAATTGTGTGTTGCTATAGTAGCCAGCACTCACTCTTCAACGATTGAACTACTCATGTTTCAAATATAATAAGATCATTTCTTATAGATAATGACAGAATTAAACAACAGAGATACAGAAAAAGTCACAAAGTTATGAAGACCAAACAGGTACATACACTGAGTTCACTTACAGTATACCAAAACTAAAAGCCATCAATTTGACTGCTCTGTAGTGTTAAAAGGCCAATCAGAGACAATCAGAGCAACCTCATGAAGAGATGACTTTTGAATCAACAAACGCTAGAGACCACAGAGAGAGGAAAGAGGCCAGTTACAATTAAGAATCCAATTGCTTTTACTGACAAGAAAACTGTTGGCGGCTAAACTCAAATATAACATAATATTAAACTAATTCATAACTGACCACACTGTTGGCTACCTGTTTTTGTGACTTTGTGCGGTCAATCTTTGAGTACAAAGCAGAAAGTCGATCTTCACTCGTCTCTTGTAAACCCTGGTCCCGGACGTCCCTGATGTTGTTTGGAGACGGTTCCAACGATGCACTGGAAATGTCATTATCCAGAGGTAAAGACGGGTACAGCACTGGGGGGTTTCTTTTGGGCAGAGGGGGTATATTTTGAGATGGCTGCACCTGAAGGCAAAACTGAAAATTTGAGCAATTACAAATATTGGTTTGTTTGATCATCTCAACATACGTCTTGTGAGTTTGGTTGATGTCTTGGTTTACCTGTAGGGAAAAAGCAGAGATTAGCTATACAGTTCAATATCAATAGTCAATATAGTTAATTAGTAATGAATAGTTACATTTGCATCCGTACGTTCTCAGCATGACCACGGCTATAATTGTGAATAATATGAGTACTGTGCAGAGAAAAGTGACAAAATATGCCAGAGAGGTGATCCCCATTGTATCTGCGTCAGATTCGCTTCCATCATTTTGACCATTTTTGAGTTCTAAATGAAGACAAAAACAGTTGTGAGTCTTAATTTGAACAAATTAGTTTTTAATTTGAATTCATACCTGTATTTGTGTCATCAGTTTGATTTCCTTGGTTTGACTCTGTGGGTAAAAAAGGGTGGCACACAGATTTCATGATGACTTATAAAACGCTCCAGGGGGGCAGGGAACACAATAACCCATGAAGAAGACTCTAACAAAGACCATTGTTATGAAGGAATCCTTCAGTTCTAAAGAAAAAAAAGACGTTCTTATACCCCAGTTGTACCTTGGGTTCATTTGCCCACTTTACATTGAAGCAAGAGTAACTACTTTTTTGTAAATCTGTCCTTTCCTTCAAACCCTCTAAGACGCATTGACCCTCGCCCCACATTGGTCAATCTGTTTGTCTCCTATAAAAAAGACAATAATGATAAATTGTATGATTTCCTTATCAGCAAATCAACAATTCTGTGACACCCTTTGAGACAATGGCTGTTGTCATTTTGACGGACACAAAAATACATGTATTAAAGAGATATGTATCCATTGATTTGATTACAAAAGCAGCCTTGAAAAGCGTCTGCACAGCAGCTCATGTTGTCACAGTCACACTTATCCCATCTTACCTGAAACCAGCACATTGATTAAATGCCCAATTGACCCATGATGGAGCTCCCTGCAGGAATAAAGCCCACTGTCTTCTGCTGAAATCTTGGTGAACGTCAAAACAGATTCCAGCCTCACGTCCAACAGCATGTTTTCGTTTATCCGAATGTGATCTGAATTAGTGAGATTCTTGCATTCATTAGAGTCCAGAACTTTGCACCAGATGACCTTCACAGTCTTTCCACAGTGAGTGACCGGGCATTTGATCTGCACAGGCCGATGAGGAGGGACTTGGAGCTGTGTTCCTCTTCGCACGTGCACCTGGACTTCACAGCCAAGCAAACCTATAAGCGAAAACAAGATTATAGTATAACATTATGTACTTACTATACCTCCATATGGTCCTTGATTACCTTGACAGCCTCCACAAACAATTAGAATGATAGAAAATAAGAAAGTCATGATGTGTTTGGTGGTCATGACCTGTAGCAGTTTAGACAGAAGAGATATGCCTTAAATGTGGCTCATCTAACTGCTGCTCTCAGTCACCACTTCCTGTCCTCCCCTGTCTCCCAGTGTCACATCTTTATGCAGTAGTGCTTCAGCCTAAATTCAGAACAATTTTATCATGTATATCCCCTATTATGTACAAAAAAAGTACATCCATGTAAATTAAGATGAAGAGATCCTTTAATTGCCCACAGTGTTGCATCACCAGTTACAGAACACAACAAAAAATAAATTAATCACTAAACAATAACTATATCTCTGAAATCTCTGGCTTCACGATATGAAAGCTTAATCTAAAACTTCCAACTTTAGCATAACGAAGAAGCAAGAATTAAGTACAAAATCACTTACTTCAGCATAATAAAGAAGAAAGTATAACATTCTGTATATTCCAGTAGTGCTAGGAATATATAGTTGTACTGTATGTATATATTGTGTGAAAAAAGAACTTGGCAAATATGCTTTCCAATATAAAGCCCCAAACGACTGGAATCTCCTTCCGGCCTCTATTCGCTCTTTAACTTCTTTTTCTCTTTTTAAAGCTGCTGTACTAAGGCATCTATGTAATGTTTGTAACTGCTACTGAACTTTCTTTTAAATATTATATCCTTTGGTTTTCACTGTCCTAGTTTGAGGAGTAGGGTGACCTCTGAGAGCTCTGTGTGTGTGTGTGTGAGTGAATGTTTCTGTCCTTGTGTTTTTTTTTTCTTGTTTTTTTTCTGTTATTTTATTGAATTTATTTACTGTAATTTGTTGTTTTTTATTTGTTACACTTTACTGTAACTGCATTTATTTGACAACCGCTGCTGCTACTTGTGTTGCTATTTTCGAGGACCCTCCTGAAAACGAGATGATGCATCTCAAGAGGCTATTCCTCGTAATAAAGATATGTTAAAGAAGAAAAGAAGAAGAATATTTGTACGACAAAGTGAAGCAAAGTGACAGTGGACACTGTAGTCAATAATTCCCTTTGACTAACGTGTTTCAAAATGGATGCAGAAGTAAGGCAAACGATGTTCAAGTTTAACATCTGCATTTAATTATCTTTACAATCAGATACAGAATGTTCAACAGAAGTGCTCCTATTCTCTGCCTGGTCTTTCCCTGTCCGTGCCCTGTCCTGTCTGACCTCAAAAAACACACACACACGGGCTCATGAGGGAGACTTCCGATGACGTCATCCTTATGCGTCCAAGGGTGGAGGTTTCCGGGTGTGCTGACGTCCCCTATCCACTGGGAGGCGTCAGAATGCAGTTGGTGAATCTCCCAGTCTGCCTCAAGATTGTCCTTGTCAAAATGTTTATTATTTAAAGTTAATAATTCGCCCTGTTTAAACAGCATTTTATCTTTATGACTCATGTCTGATTATCCTGTGTCCTTGGGGTTTTTCCTGAGTGCACAGAGGTCTTTCTGGCTATGATGTTCAAATGGTCAAATATTAAAATATACAACAGTTCCCCTCTGTTGACCTATATTAAACCAATTTAGGTCACAATCTTTCAATATTCCTCCTGGGTGCCGAGACTGGGGAGCTCGTCCATCATCGCCTTGGTTCTTGGTTCTGGCTCGTTATCTGTGAAGAATTAATACAAAAAGAATACACACAACAACATTCGAAACATTCCTTCACAAAACTCTTTGATGACCACTGCTGTCATTCTGATTCTTCTTCAACCTCGTCTGTAATGTATGCACTAAAACTATTCACTATAGTTTAAACTATTCTAATCTATTTACCAATATGTTTGCATCTTTGCTTTTATTGAGCCATATTCTTAAACATATGTTTTTATCTAATAAATCTATCTATACTGTGGTTTGCTGTCATTATCAGTGGCTCTGTGCCATTTTGTGGGGCTTTGCTCATTTTTCCAAACACATTTTGTTGAACCAGGAAGTGCTGTCACTTCCTCCTCTCAGACCGTTTGGGATAAATGTACATCGTTAATCAAATTGGTATTATCCTTACAAGAGCTAATCTCTTTTAGCAGGTTTTTGGGGTCAGTTACTCTACCATGGTATTCGATTTTCTAATCCATATTGACAAGTCGACAGCTCTTAAAATTCTCAAAAAATACCTAAATATCTACTTTTGTGCTATACCCAAATACATTAAAATGCTTTCAAATGTTTTTGAATCTCTGTTGTTTCTAATCTATCTCATTAACTTTTGGCATTGTTAACATTCACCCATGTTTGAAACAAGTGAATTTGACAGTATCTAATAAAACTGTGCATAAACTGTACTGAACTTTATCTACCTTTGAAGTAAATACTTTTAGACATAATATGAAGGAAATGGTCCTTTTACCGTTTGATATTAGCCTTGGCTAAAAATAATCTCTCTTTTTGAAAGCATCTATGGTTGATGCATTTATCTATTCCTATTTTTACTCTATTGTGACTCTAAAGCTCGGTTGCAGCTTGAGCAAAGGCATATTCCCAATTTTTGAGTTCTGATTGTAACAATTGCATTGGCAATAGACAATTTTTTATTGGCCGGTTCTTGTTCTGCAAATCATTATTCTATGTATTGTATTTCAGACAATTCCAAAAACAACACAGTCGTTCTCCAATATTAAAGACATACATCTAAATCAAGTTGCCTGAAAGGGATTTTAACTATTTTAAAACGTTCTCTACGATTATAAGGCTATGAAATTAATTATTTAATAAACAAAAGCACATTAATGGCTTCTGTCCACTGCTTATAACTGTTTAAAGAGTTGTCCCAAACTTAATATGTGTGAATACATCAGCTGTTTGTAATAAACAATAACATTTAACCTGTTCTCCAATGGAGCAGCTCAGAGGCTGCGTCAAGAGCAATGTTATATTTGAGCTATTTTTAGATTTAAAATTGTGTTAAAGCCTGTCGTTCTATGTCTGCATTTTAATACTACTCTCTATAAACACCTCTGCACCAGTTCCTACAGATGTGGAAAACAGAAACATCTAAAATCTGACTCCATTTGATTCCTTTTTACTTTAGTTATTAGAACAATTTGACCTTATTGATACTTATTTCCACAATAGAACTATTTTGATTATTCACTAGTCTAACTATTATTACTATTGTTTATTCTGACACTTCAACCTATAGCTCCTCGAATCCAATGACATTATAGCTCCAGACTATTTCATTCTATTCTATTATTATCTTATTATTATATGATCTATTATCTTAAAGAGTAGATCTGTTTGATGTTATAAGCGCTATTATTTCTCCTTTTGAATTTGCACAACACTAAATTTAGAATGACCCCCTATGGGACAAATATAGAATTTTATTTCATTTTGGCAACTCCGAAAATTACTTAATAATTTTCCCATTTTGCTTTTTTAGGCTGGCTGCCCTTTCTATTATTTATTTGTTCTTGTAAATATATGTTTTACACTTCTTTCTAATGATTTAGAAGGTTAAGGACCATGACCACCTATGACAATACAATACTCCCCTCTGTTGGTCGTGGTCCAAAGTATAAAACATGCATCTGTGTGTGTGTAGATTACTGTTCCAATCCTGTTGCTCCTCCCGGATCGTCCTCAATTCATATTGTGGGCTTTGGTGCCAAAGTAGAGGCTCATTTCCTTAATTCATACTACTGTCATCCCTGAAGCAGGTGCAGTTTATCTTTCATCTGAAAAACAAACATTAGAACACAAGAAACACCCACTTTCCTCTCTTCGCATGGTGCGGCCTGTCAATCAATCCAATTGGGCAAAACATAACTGCATTGACAGACGGTGTGTGGCATCAGGGCAGAGGCTGTAGCCAAATACAGACTTAACAATATGTATGTTTCTAATTTTATACTCCCCTAAATGTGAATTACAAACCAAAGTTGTCCTCCGCCCAATGACCGCTCACTGCGGTTGGACCGAATCACTGTCCGGACAAACAGCAGAGGGAGGGGCTCCCAGTACCTTCAGCAAGGTATTCATCTCAGAGTACTTTCTCAGAGTACTTTTCTCAGAGTACTCATCCCAGAGTACTCTCACTTTTACACCTGTTCAATAAAGCTTGTCATCTTTGAATCTCTAGTACTTACACCGTATGCTGTTGACAAAAAATAATTATTCCATGATCACATTAAAACATTACAGAAAACTTTTGTTATTCCATGATTCCGTTCAGCACTCCTCGTTCACTCCACAACACACTCACAACACACTCACAACACCCCACGTTAGTATTGGTCCAGTTTGTTAAGGTCAACGTAGTGTATTGGACATGACGCACAAACATATAACATACACAAACATATAACATACACAAACATATAACATACACAAACATATAACATACACAAACATATAACATACACAAACATATAACATACACAAACATATAACATACACAAACGTATAACATACACAAACATATAACATACACAAACATATAACATACACAAACATATAACATACACAAACATATAACATACACAAACATATAACATACACAAACGTATAACATACACAAACATATAACATACACAAACATATAACATACACAAGAGGCCTGTAATTTTAACTTTGTTATATTTTTCCATGTCCAATTACAATTGTCTCATGAGCTATTTTATAGTTGCAACTTTCAGAGCCTGCAGAACATGCAAAGCTTTGAGAGATTTTTCCTA